GGGATGTCTAGACCAAGTCTAAACAAAGGTTTAACAGCAATTTAAACCAATCCAATATTAATATATTGAAATTTCTTCCTATGAGTAAGGATAGAATCTTTTGAAAGTAAAATAATGGAAACAATTCGATTTTTGATAGGAATAGTTTTTTCAAGAGTTTTGATAACATAATTTTGAGTAAAATCAAAATTTCCTATTTTATAGATAGAACTTTTGTCTACCTTTTGAATAGTCCAATTTTGAAGAGTTTGTTCATTTTTTGCAATTTGAAGCTCTTTTGAATTAATAACATTTGAAATATTGCTTGATGCAGATGCAGATGTATGATTTTGATTATCAATTTAATTTTTATTTTCTTGAAAATAATTCGACATACTACTAGTACCTTCTTTTGAACTTCCACCTTTACTAAACCAATTTAATAAAAAAGACATAATTATGTGATTCAAAGAAAAACAATAATCTTACCATTGTAGACATAGTGCTACAGGCTACACCAACGCTTGACCAAAGCCTACAAATGGAACCACCCTAAACGCTTACCTCGACACACAGTAATGACAGTAGTTTGACATGATTTTCTCTCAACAAACACTTGTGGCTCTGATACCAGAAAGGGCCCAGGGTAAGGGTTTGCTCATGTGGAAAGATAGGAGATAAAGTATGTCAAAAGAAGAATTTTGAGATAAAAGAAATATTTTATTTCATAAAATCTTTTGAGTACATAAAGATAAGATTACAAGAATTTCTAGAACTTTCTTGAGATGCAGAAAAATAAACTATTTTTCGCTCTGTCTAAAACCTAAAGAGTAGAATGACAATTATGTCATTGTTCATTGTCTTGTTTTCTTGAAGATTGATAATGATATCTTATTTGTCTTGCTACTCTTGCTTTTGAGAAAGCAACCATCTTTTGAATAATTTTGTCTTCCCCCTTTTGAAAATATCCGTCTTTTGAATTATTTTGCCCAACTTTTGAAGATTCTTTTTGCTTTTGCTTTTTGGAAAGTGACCATCTTTTGAACGTAATTATTTTGGTTCAATTCATCTTCTTTGCGAAGTAGTAGGAAGTACTATTCACCTTCTTCTTCTGCTATATTGTTTCCAGCACAAAACATTATTGAATCAGTAATACGGAAATGGCAATCTTAAGAATGGATATGTTTAGTTAGAAACTACTAATCTTTTCCCTATGAAAATTCACGTTTTCTTATAATCCACAAAATAAAATAAAACAAACGCACGTTCTTCTACACAAAAACTCAACTCAAAAACACGTTTCTTCCTCCTTCCGACCAGGGTAAAGCACCATAAGTCACTACCATAGTAAAAAAAAAAAAAAGGGAATAACACACTAACAGAAGTCAACTCGAGAACCAGAACTTAGGGGTCTTTCCTTTTTGACTATCTTTTCAAGATGTCTAGTAATTATCGCAAAGCAATCAGAAAATTAAACTGGCATAACTCGAATCTAATATAAGAACAAGTTTTAGAAAAATTACTTGGGCGAAACTACGGAGGAGAAGTTTCTGCAATGATCCAGGAAAAGAAATAAACAAACACATGTTAATTTTTCAAAAAATGGGAAGAAATATTCCTAGGAAGAAGAAATTAAACACATAAAAATTATACTTACAGATATATGTCTCAATTCTTGCAAATTTGTTTTGGGTTTCTTTCAACAATCTACAGAAAATAAGAGAAATTAGGGTTAACCGGGGGCTTTCTTTTCTAGAGAGTAGGAAGCACGAGGGGGAATTTTACCTTCTACCGAGAGTAGAGCACAAGGTTTCTTGGTTAATCGGGGCTTTCTTTTCCTAGAGAGTAGAAAGCGAATCGATAATTTTAGCTGCCGCAGAGAGAACACATGGTTTCTCGTATGAGTAGGATATGGAAGGAAAAAACACCCCAGTATCCAAACAACATCGTGTTGGTTGACAATTTTTTTTGTTGACGATTGTTACCTTTCAAAACAGGCTCTTTTAATATAGCTAGGATTAGGATACACGTAATTGTCCTTTTGACCCAATTGAAAGTGTTTTTTTTTTTGGCCTTTGACCAGTTTTATTTATTTAAAAAAAAGAAAAGAAAAACTTTTCATTTTATTTTTTTCCCTTCATACCCTTCAGCCCTAAAGAAAAGAAAACGATTGTTTAAACTTTGGAGAAGACAACAGTTCCAAAGAAAACCGTAAAAAAGAAGCAGTAGCAACAATTAAACTGAAGAAGAAATTGAACGGTGTTGAAATTTTGGATAACAGTGGAGGTTAGCACCCTTTTCTTGCTAATCACTTTTTATTTCTTTTATTTGTCTAGATATGTTCAGTTTTACTTCTATGACTTCTTCTGAGGATTATTGACGATTTGAGGTTTCATTAAGCTCCTTTCTTCACTTATGGCTCTATTATTTAATAAACGAAAATCATAGAAAATCTATAGAACTCAGGCTTCTTTAGTATGTCATAGTCTACTCTATATTCTGTCAAGATTGAGGTAAAAGATTGAAAAGGTTGAATCAAACAGCTTTCTTTCTCAAAATATTACCAATTTTAAGATTTCAATTGTAGTTTCCGTTTGATGTTCTCATTGTTAGGGAAATACTGGTTTTGAAAATTTTTTTAGTTCCTGCCAAACTATATATATATAGATGGGGTCAAAAACACTAGAGGCCATTGACTTTTTGTAAAATTTCATGTTCGTCACTATTAGCATGCAATGACATGCTTATTGTTGATTTTTAATAGCTTGCAATGACATGCTTATTTTTTATTTTGTCCCTCTGTTCAGGAGAGAAATGAAAGGTTGTTCTACAAGCTTATAATTGAAAATGTTGAGGAGTTGCTCCCACTTGTCTACACTTTGGTGAGGCCTGCCAAAAATATGGGAGTATCTTGAGGCAATCTCAGGACTTTTTATAAGTTTGAAAGAAATGTAAGTTTGATTC